GGAAAATGATGTTCCTCGCCACAGGCCCCTCGCGCAGGTCTTGAGATGATCGATAGTTCTCATGGTATCAAAGAATACTGCTGTCGAAGGAGGTTGTTTCATTTCTCGTGTTTCACGTTCGTTGTTCATTTCAAGATGGGAATTCGGATGCCAACTGTGTTCTTCTCGTCTCCCGCGATCGTGGGACCTGGGGCTTAATTCGGGGTGGTGGCGGGCTTTTAATGTGCCTTGGGTCCCTTGATTGCTTTCGTTGCTGCCTTTTGTGTGTCTGGATGTTAGGGCATCCGATATCATGGGAGCATACGTCTCCTTTCAAGTGGTGCTTTGGGGATAGAAGTCTCTATGGCGCCGCCGACTCTCTCTCAATGAAGATTTAGGTATGAATTGGTGCTTTCGGGAGCACAAGTCTCTTGCAGAAGAGGAGCCCGTCTGTATTTCTTGAACTTGCAGATCAGATGCCCGTCTGTATTTCTTAAAATTGCAGAAGAGGTGCCCGTCTGTATCTCTTAAACTTGCAAAGGGGTCTAGATCCTAAATCCTAAACCCGAAATCCTAAACCCTAAATCCTAAACCCTAAACCCTATAGACCTTCTAGAAACTTGACAATTACCTAGACCATTCTCATTGAATATTCTTGGATTTTTTGGGATTTGATGTATTTTCTGAATTGAAGTGTTGAAGTTTGAATTTTGTAAATTGCATTTTGGGTTTTGAAATTTTACCTGTGCAACTTGCAAATATTTAGTATTCTAAAATTAGAAAATGCAATTTGCCATTTACATTTTCATTTTGTTTCGATATTTGGATTTCTATATATTCTAGAAACTTGAAATCTGTTTTTTACAGCATTTAGTGCCATCCACCCTGCTCTTTGCCAGAGCCAGTGCTTGCGTGTGAGAGAGAGAGAGACGGAGTGTCTGTGAGTGTGTGAGGAGTGATGAGAGTGAGAGCGAGAGCGAGATGAGAGTGAGTGAGAGTGAGAGTGAGAGTGAGAGTGAGAGTGAGAGTGAGAGTGAGAGTGAGAGTGAGAGTGAGAGTGAGAGTGAGAGTGAGAGTGAAAGAGTGAGAGATGCAGGTGAGAGTGAGACGGAGAGTGAGGGGGAGAGTGGAAGTGGAGGAGTGAGAGTGGAGTTGTCTAGATGTTGAGTGAGTGAGAGTGAGAGTGAGAGTGAGAGTGAGAGTGAGAGTGAGAGTGAGAACGAAAGTGAGAGTGAGAGTGAGAGTGAGAGTGAGAGTGAGAGTGAGAGTGAGAGTGAGAGTGAGAGTGAGAGTGAGAACGAAAGTGAGAGTGAGAGGAAAGACGGAATGAGAGAAGGTGATGCAGTGAGCGGAGGAATGGTGAAGAAATCCATGGGGCCCCACGTGATTTCCATTTCTGCCATTTTTTTCTTCAACGCCGCGTTTGAACAGTGCAGGTCGTGCTCGATCACTTGTAACAATGTCTCAGATAAAGAAGATAAGCGACTTGGGAAAAAACCTGGGCTAAAATCTGGTACAATTCGAACCAAAAAGATGTTTCAACACCACTTTGGCAGAGAACCAAAAAATTCGAACCAAAAGGGTGTCCCAACTGGCAGAGAACCAAAAATCGAACCAAAAGGTGTCTCAACACCAATTTTTTTGAAAGAGAACACTCATGTGCCAAAGGGTGTCTTAACACCACTTTGGCAGAGAACCAAACAAACTCCAAAAGGGTGTCCCAACACCAATTTTGTAAAGAGAACACTCATCTGAACCAAAAGGGTGTTTCAACACCACTTTGGCAGAGAACCAAAAATATCGAACTAAAAGAGTCTCAACACCACTTTGGCAGAGAACCAAAAAGTTCAAACCAAAAGGGTGTCTTGATAACAACTTTTAAAAAACAACGTGAACCGAGGGTGTTTCAACACCACTTTCGCAGAGCACCCAAAAGTTCGAACTGAAGACCACTTTGGCAGAGAACCAAAATTCGGGAGACATCCTGTGCCTGTCGATAAAATTCGCTCGTCGCAGGATGGAGCCATGTGCTATCGGCAACTTCACTCGCAGATGTTGCTGCCTTGTCTTAATGGTTTATATCAATGGTTTGCAAAGGATGGTTGATGTTTTTCCCTTTAGAACTTGAATATCCAAGGGATTTCCAACAATTTCTATGACGGATTACGAAGAACACGAATGCCCCGAAATTCTTAAAATAATAGATGTTCGTATATATAGGGATGTGGAAATCAATAATTTGACCCTATTCTGAATTCTAAACCAAAAGAGCAAGATATAATCCTTCCTTTAATTCCATTTTATTTTCCATCTATCTTGATCTTGAACCGTCGCATCCTAATATCCATTTCCAAGAACCCCATTCTAATATCCAATTAAAATTGGTTTTGTCGTCCTTGAATTCCATTCTAATTCCCAATTAGGACTTATTATCTTGATCCTTCATCATATTCTACCCTAAAACTCGACCGTGATTTTGAATCGATGAGTCATGATCCTTCCTTGACTTCTAAGCAAATATATAATCAAAAGATCATATCTCGATTCTCTCTTGAATTCCATTCTAATATCCAATCAAAAGATCCCAATCTAATTGGATCCTGCTCTAATATCCAAATCATAGATTAGATTTAGGATCCCCAATCAGAAGAATTTTCCTTCCTTGAATCCCAATCAATTATCCAGTCAAAAGATCACAAAGAAAAGAGATTTTTGTAATTTTTTGTAACCCTTCTCACAGTTCCCGAGGGTTCTCCCCTCTGAATCTTCTCGGGTCGTTCTTCAACTTGGCCGCTTCCTTCATCGACTCTTGGTCTTGTTGCCTCAGGCTCTTCTGTAGCTCCTCCTTCGAGCTCTCTCTTACTCGGGCCTTCTGGATCTCCTTCACCGGCTTCACCAGAGGTTAGACTCGCTTCGTCTCTTTTCCTTGCCGTTGCTCCTTTCCTACTACTTGCTTCAGAACCTCTCTGGCCTTCGCCTGGATCTTCATCATCATCATCATGGTCACTTGTTGGTGGATCCGACGCCATTGCGTCGCTTGGTCTTTCCGACTCCGTTGGGATGTACTGTGGAGTCTCTACCACGACTGCTGGGGTTCTTGGAACTTGTACTGGCGGTCCTTCAATGGGTGCCACTTCAATTCCACTCGATGGCGGTAACCTCTTCGGTTGCTTTGACCTTCCAGTCAACTGCTCTTGGTTGTAGTTCCACGGCGTCCCACATGCATTCGCTAATGTCTCTACATCAAACGTTGGTGAACATTGTCTCATTGTCCTACTTTTGACGATTCCACTTCTGGTGCTCACCAGATTCATGTTCGAAACCATGTTCATCCCAGCGAAGATTCCTTTCTTCCATGGCTCACCTTTCTCCTTTGTCTTTGGTAGTGGTTTTGCCACAACCACACTGCCCTATGGAACTAGAGTTCCTTTGTACTCTCGGTCAAATACCAATTCGAACGGGGTCTTTCCTTGTTGTACCACAAACCTGTTCAGCAGGAACGCTGCATGTCTTGGTGCCCACGGATACAGAATACTTTCACTTGTAATCTTCACTTTTGCTTCTTTTTCTACTCCATACACCAATGTTTTCGATAGGTTTCTCACTGTCTGTACCCATCTTTCAACTTGTGCTCCCTGGTGCGTGTCTGGCGCCACATCCTGAATCTCCGTCTCAAGCTTCTGCATTTTCCGTATCGCTTGCACCTTCCTTCTCAACGAAATCATCGCCGGTTCAGCGTCCGTCCTTAGGATCACTTTCGGTTGCATCAACATCAACACTCTGCAAACTTCTTCTACCAGGTAGTTTGTCACTTCCTTGCTTTGGACTGGAGTGACTGGAATTGCATGGACGAACTTTGTCTCTTGATCTACCATGACCAAACTTATACACAATGCGTCTTTCACATCCTTTGCATCTTCTTCATTTCTCGTTCCTGTGAACTTGAAATCCATGCTTACCAACGATGCTTCATGCTTCTTCTCTGTGGTCTTGAAATCATCTTCTCGACTTCTTGTCGCGGCGCAACTCTCGCACCAATCTGCCTTCGGCAGATGTGTCAACTCATGCTTCCTCCTTTCTTCTTCGCTTGGTTCTTCCGGTCTCTTTTCTCCATCTGGCTCTCTTGAGAATTCGATCTCTAGTCCTTTCGAGATTTCAACTAGCTCCTTCATCTTGTGCTTCAGTCTCTGCCAGACTTGGGCTTTACTTCCTGTCTTCCCTATCTTGAGGAACTCACAAGCATGCCTCAACTGCTTCAGCGTACTCGCTGGTGTCAACTCTACTCCGGCGATCTTCATTCTCTCATCCAACGCTTCGCCAAGTTTCGGTAGTTGCTCTTCGACTTTCCTTCTCTCGCTTTCATCTTTCTTTGCATGCGGAGGCTGTTCTGGGCCTGGTGCTTCCGATAACTCTTTCATTCCTTCATCAATATCTCGCTGTAACTCTTCCCTTGACCTTCCTTTCCACAGGTCTTCTTCTCCTTGAGGCTCCATTTCAACATCACGCTTGTCTTCAACTTCCTTCTTCTTGGAAGGGCTGCTGTACTCTCCGTAATCTTCAACACCTCTCGGAACCCTTTCCATGATCGTGATGACTACTGATTTTTCAATCTCTGGCACTATGACCATTCTGCTCTTTTCTCTCAATTCTTCTGCGCACTCGAAAAATTCCATTTCTTCCCAGACTAATTCCTCTTCTTCATATCTGGTTCTCAGTGTTGTTCTGTACTTGAATGACTTTCCTTCATCCTTTCCCAGGTTGTACGTTGTGTTCACATCCCAGTCGATTCTCACTGGTCTTCCATCGCTCAGGAAAAACCAACCTTCCTCGTACTTACCGTTCTCCAAGTCATCTTTCAACTCCTTCGTCAGTGTAAGTTTCCTGATCGATATCGGTACATCATCTTGTCCATCTTCCATTGCTGCTCTGTAGATCCTCAAATCTGTCACTGTTGAGTGCCTTGAAAACCTTATCGGGACATATGATACCGACGTGCCATTCTTCCGTTGCACCATCTTCGTCAGGAACGCACTGTATGCATCTTGGGGTTCGATGTCCCATCCGACTTTGCACAATTTCCCCACTGCGAACAGTGGTTGAGTCACTTGACCAAACACGGCAGTGTCCTTGACTTTGATCACTCTTCCGTCGGATCTCTGGAACTCGAACGTTATGTTGGTCCTTGCTTCGGTCGTTCTGATTGCATTCCCTTGTGCGTCCGTGATGACCATCTTCAGGGCTGGAAGCTCCACTTATGATAGCTTAACGGCAACACATGACAGTCTGCTCCACTGTCTAAAACGACTTCGACCAGATCTTCATACCCTGGTAACCGAACCGTTCGTACTCGATCTTTACTTGCTTCTTGGACACTTGGACTTGGACTTGGATTCTCAATCGATTCCTGTTTGACTTCTGGTTGGTCTTCTTCTTGGACACTTGGACTTGGACTTGGATTCTCAATCGATTCCTGTTTGACTTCTGGTTGGTCTTCTTCTGGGACACTTGGACTTGGACTTGGATCCTCAATCGATTTCTGTTTGACTTCTGGTCGATCTTCCTCGTACCACAGCTGATACTTGTCCATTTCGTTCAATTCTTCATCTCCTTGACTTATGTAGAACACTTGAACCTCTTTCTCTTTCACCATTCTCACGGAGGGCTTGTTTCCCCATTCTCGGAACATCTCGATCAGGTCTACGATCTCTTCATCGTCTTCTTCATCAACTTCTTCAATTCTTGTCATTGACCCCTCATTGATTCTTCTCACTTGTTCACTTCCTTTGGCGGCTTGCGCAGCTCGCACTTGCGCTTGTTCTTGACTTCTACGCTGACTCGGCTGTGAACTGGTGCTCGACTGCGATGGCGCATTCCATCGGCCACTTGACCATTCTTGATCTTGACTCCATTCCTCTTCACCTTCGCGCACTTGTCGCATCTTTCCTTTTGGCTTTCCTCCTTTTCCTGAGTTGCTTCCTCCTTTTGCTGGCGCAAAATGACCATACTTTCCACAGTTGTAGCACTCCACTCCAGACTTTGATCCTTTTCCACCTGAACCTTTTCCTTGACTTGCCTCACAGACTTTCCTCGTCCTTTGCCACGGCCTTTACCGCGGCCTCTTCCTCTTCCGCCTTTTCTGTCTTTTCCTTTTTCTTTTCCTTTTCCTTTCTCGAACTTTCCTTTTCCTTTTCCTCTTCCTCTTCCTTTCTCATACTTTCCTTTTCCTTTTAGCCGGTCAATCTCCATTGGGATCGGCCCTTGATATTCTTTGGAACTTGAACTTGTTCCTGGGGCCTGAACACCAAAATGTTCTCAGCAAACCACGTTTGGTTGCTCCTTTCGTACTGTAACAGCTTCGTTCTCAAGTCATTGTAACTTGTCTTCTCATTGATTCCTACCATGATTGATTCCTACCATGATATGCTGCTTCAGATTTTGAGGGATGCCTTTCAGCAACGTTCCAATCTTCAAGTTGTCATCGTACTTCGTTGTCGATAACTTCTCGTACTCATTGACCAACTTCTCGAAGGTAAGAACATAATCCATCAGGCTAGCTCCCTTTGCCATTGCAGGGAATCCTACTAGCTTGGGCCATTGCAAGACTTCGAGATCTAGAGGACGGTTCGAGCTCAGCCGTTAACCGCCTCCAAACTTCAAATCCATCCATGTTGTCGATGCTTCTCAACACCTTCAGTGGACGATTCTTCAAGTAGCTACTCAACACAGAGTACAACTTCATTCCTCTTATCTTTCGTCCTTCGCTCGCTGCATAGAATCCATCAATGTCATCTTCTATGTCCAGTGCATCCGTTGATGCTACGGCTTTCTTCAGATCTGCTAAAACATTCATAGTCCATGAATGCTAGAAAGTACAAAAAGCCAAACTCCAGTCACTCCATTGAGAGACTTCTTCTTCTAGCGTTGCCGGATTGAACTCCTTCACCAGCCTTTAAATTTTTATGGTCGCGGAGCTGTTGGCAAAGGCCAGCAGCTGAAGAAGTGGATCCAGGGAAGAGGAAAGCCTAGCCAACGGGCTGGCAGCCCAGCTAACGAGTTGGAAAGAAGGAGATTCGTTTTCCGGTGGGCGTTATCACCGGAGGAAATTCGAAAGAAAGCAAGAAGTTAAGATTTATCGAGAACGTCTTGCAGCCTTGCAAGAAGAAGGTAAAGAAGCAGAAAGTTACGGTTCGCCAAGAGCATCCTGTAAAAGAAGAAGCAAGGAAGCAGAGCGTTACGATTCGTCAAGGTTCTGGACGACTTGAAAGAGCAAACTTTGAAGCGAGGCTGGCATTGGCCACAGAAGCTTAAGGAAGAGTTGCAAGCCAAACAGCAACCCAACAGCAGCAGCTAACCGAAGCATTGCTGCGCACCAGCTTCAAGTGAGAGGAAGGGCCGCCCAAAGCTCCATTGTACAAGCAAGGCACTTCTTGTATGCCTTTGCGCTGTCAGTGTGACAGACACTGCCAATGGCCAGGACCTCTTCAACAAGAAGTTCGCTCTGCGGTCGTTAATTGGTGCCCTTTGGCTTTTCTTATCACCGATCAATCTCAGCCAGATCATACTTGGCGCGGATCATCGCACTGTTGGAAGCTGTTTTGCAACTTTCGCAAGTGGCTTTCACCCAATCATTGACAGAATGAACGAAGAGCTCATTCTTGGAGAAGCTGGCATGGACGTTGAGTTGGATGTCCGGTACATTGCCATCGTTCGCAGAGGAAGCGCCAAGGTTTTATACCATTTGAAATTAAATTTGGGGGTTGTGAAACCGCGACTCCAAATTGGGACCACCTGGCGGCCCCAATTTTGGAGCCGCAAATTCTTCTATTATTCGGCTTATCTCATCTCGCGCTTACAGTCGAAGCCCACAGACAAGCGTTCAAAGCGGAAACCTGAGAACCACGATCTCCGCAGGCAGCTTTCTAGTGGAAGAAATTGACATGAGAGAAACGTGCACAGGGAAGGTCCACGCACGCGAAGCCAGAATTGCTGTGAAAAGCAGATTCGCTCGCTTTCTTTTTCCTTGAGTCAAAGCAAGCCCAGTCTCAGCCATTTGGCTCCAAGTGTAAAACTCATGAACCACATTTCCAAATCACTGCTCAGCTTCTGGCAAGAACAAAACACAAGATACAAGACGTGACGAAACGAATGCTACCTGTGCATGATTTTTCACACAAACCAAGGGCAAACGTCTGCGCAGAAGTTGCCAGAGACACAGTGTTTTCCCTGGACCTGCATGAGCCAAGTAAGCCTGAATCTTGCACCATTACCCAGGGTCCTTGCCTCTCACGCGTCTGTAAGATACAATCGGCTGAAATTCGTTTTGAGGCCAAATTTAGTTTGCACATGCATGCCTACCGCACCAAGGTGGACAATCACGCTTGCACAGCACAAGACTGAACGGCTGTGCAGCGTGTTGTTTGGCGACTTCTTATCTGTTCTCTGAATTGGCAAGGACTTTCTTCAAGGCGACTGGGCATCATGCAGTGCAAGGCCACAACAGGCCACAAACGTGTTGCAACAAAGCAAGACAGTGTGGGTTTTGAGGCTTTGGTTTTAAGATTGTTTTTTGGGAGCTTGATTTTTAGCAATTCCCAGAAGACCAAGTCGTTCCTGCACTGTACACATGTTTGCCAGTTACGCAACTCCAAATCTGGAGTTAAAAAATCTAAGCAATTCTGTCTCCCCTGTAGATGGGCGGCTTGTGTTGAACGTTCTACCCCTTAAGCCCATACATGGTGTGTGAAACGGTAGGAAATTGAACACTCTGTTAAAAGTGCGTGCAGAGCAGTCTAAGACGACAACTGCCGCAATCACCCTCTGAAAACTAAAGCCATCTTTCTGTAAATGTGCATGGACTTGGGTTTGCTAACGTGGCCTGAAAACTGCACGTTTTGTGGCCTGTTGTGCCCTGACGTGGCCTCAAAACACACGTTTGTGGCCTGATATAAACACACGTTTGTGGCCTGTTGTGGCGTTGTGCCTCAGCTATTTTTCCAAATGCATTTTGTGACCATGGGGACTTGGGACCCTACTATTACAGGGATCCCCACGCCACAGACTGGGTGGCCAGATCCCAAGACCGACCAGTTTTTCATTTAGGTTTTTTCCAAACGCTCATCTTTCAAATTGAACATTGTTACAAGTGTTCAAACACGACCTATGCCAATGCACGCACTGTTCAAAACGCGGCGTTGGCAGCACCACTCCTCCGCTGCCCGTCACTGCACTTTCTCTCACTCCGTCGTCCTTTTCTCACCCTCTCTCACTCTCTCTCTCTCACTTTCTCACTTTCACTCTCGCTCTCGCTCTCACTCTCATCCTCACACTCACAGACACTGTCACTCTGACACGCAAGCACTTGGTGCGAAGCACTCTCTGGCAATTTTTTCAATTTTCCAAAATGCAAGTTTCAGCACTTTTCAAGGTTTTTGAGTTAATTTTCATTGTTTGCAGGCGGCTGGGTTGTTGTTCAGCTCTCTGCAGTGGTCTAGCCGGAATTACCCAGACGAATTTCTGAAAGCTGCATATTTTCAGAAATTTGGATTTTTGTTTTTGAAAACCATGAAAAATGTGTTTTTTTTCCTTTCTGTGAAAAGCAGAGCTCGCGCAGCAGTCTCTTTTTCACTTCGCACTTGAGCCAAACACCAAAGTGTTCAGCAAGCTTCAGTTCTTGCAGCAAGCTCTCTCCAAGAGCTAAGGGCTCCAAAAGCTACGAATTCCATCTCAACTTTGTTCTACAAAGGAGGTAAAGCAAAAGAACAATGCAACTGCTTTGGTCTACACCTCGGGGACTTCAGGTCACTTCCGAACAGCAAAACAGCGAAGCTTCAGAGTCCACTCTGCACTCCTACTCCCATCCTACACGTCCAACGGCAACGAACGAAGTGGCGGGGACACGGAGTGAGTTGCAACAAGACAGAACCTCAGAGTTCTGACACGCACTTCTTCACTACTGCTCTCAAGCAGTTCCAAGTGCCTCAAAACTCATCCTAGGCCATGCCAACAAGACAAGACATGTGTCGCAGTCAACCCAAACATGCTTTAGGGACTTTGGGCAAACCAAACATGCTCATGCCAAGTCATGCAGCAGAAAAACTCTCATGCTTCTCTCTGTATGGTCAAACACCACATGGCACCAACTGGGCAAACACTACAGGTGAATTTTACTCGAGAGCGGGCGACGTCGCTAGCCAATTAGGCTCTTCGGAACCAAAGTCCCGGAAGTTAAGGTGAAACAGTGAGAACAACTACTCTCGGGAATGCCTTGGCCTGCTAAACACGGCCGTGCTTGTGAAGGCATCCGGAGATGTTACGGAAAGAGCTACGGGCTGGGAGAACCTCACCATCCCTCAGAGTCTTTACAGACTTGACAAGATTCTCGCCGCAGCACAGGGGGAAACTCACCTTCTGGCTCATCGCAGATCACTGAAACAGGGCCCTCCCGAGTCGATAATGCCCTGTTCGCTGAGATGGCTCCAGAAAGGCTGACACTCCATTAACAACGTTTCCGCGCACCACCTTGGGTACAAGCCAACGTGTCTGAGCTTGTCGCGCAGCCAGCCTTGGCGTGAAGGGCTGAAATCCGCCACAAGCGACCAAAAGCCTGTCCAGCTGTGTTTGGCTTCCTTTCCCTCCCATGTCCATTCATTCGTGTCGAAGAAAATGAGCCTCGGATGGGGGGAATTCGCCGTGGTACGACTCACAGCTACATTTAGTGGTCCCAAATCGCGGAGGGTCCACCCTGCA